AGGTGGCCCATATTGGAGTAAAGAAACAGGTACAGCATTGCTTACATGATTTATATATTGCCAACCCAACCATTAGATTATATTCCTAACAATCTCCATAGACATTTTCATCTACTGCTTCTCGTCCTGCTGTCTGGCACTTTGGAAAGTAAGTTGATGCCTTCTTCTTTGTGGCAGCCCCTCAAATACTGCGTTGAGGACAATCTACATGTTGTTTCTGAGTTCTTTACTCCAATATGGGCCACCTGATGAGGTAGGGGATTTTAAGGGCATGTTGCAGGGGGAAAACCACTCACAAAACAGGGCTTGTGAAGTGAGGCGGCCTAACGAACATATTTCTTAGGACTTTCCTGCCCACTGAATATTTTTTCAAAAGAGATGCAACCGATTCAATCACTTAGAAAGAAGGGGAAGAAGGGTTGTTTGCTTTAAAAACTACTAGGCTAAAGCCAATGCCCCAAATTAGTTCTCCATCAGTCGAAACCATAAAAGGACTCCAGATAGCAGCAGGATGTTGAACAGCTGGCCTCTTTCAAAGCAGAGCTTCGTTCTATTTATTTATTGATTCCTTCCAATGTGGGTTCTTCCTTCACAACCACAAAGTTTTTTCTTAGAAGTCGGCAAAAGCCAAAATGACCCCGACTTGAGCCGAACGGATCCTCCTGTAAATCAGAACTGAGCTTAAACGGCAGGGAAGTATTAAGACAGTGATGGCGAACCTTTTGGGCCACGAGTGCGCAAACTGGAATGTACCTGCGTGGAGGTTCGTGTGCCAGGAAACCGAACACCAGCTGGCCTGGAAAATGGCCGAATTTGGGACATTTTTCAGGTTGTTTTGGGGTCATTTTTGGGTCGTTTTTCAGGCTGTTTTCCCACACTCTCGCGCCCGCAAAAACCAGCTGACCGGCTCATTGGAAACCAGAAGAGCAACTGGAAACGGCATGCGTGCCCACAGAGAAGGATATGCATGCCACCTCTGCCATAGGTTCGCCATCATAGTATTAGGATCCGTTTGCGCCATTAGCCAAGCGAGGAATTACGTTCATTGAAAAAAACAACACACCTATAAACCCACAATCGCTGGGAAAACCCAGTATGCTTTCCAACTCAAATATATTAGACATCCGTAGTTACAAGCCTCTAGTTGCCAATATGCAGCACTTTGCTGTAATCCCATATGGCTTGTTTACAATGTATTTCTGGCAATTTCTCCAGGGGATTGTAAAATAATCTAATGTGATTGTTACCTCTGATCATATTAAAACTTGTAGGCGTCCTTTTTAGTTAACAGTTGATCTTGCTGGGATAAGCTCGAAGAGCAGGAAGGAACGCTAGGCACCGCTCAAATTCCATTACATCCTTTTTAAGCACATGAAAAAAGGTGGTGGGGGGAGTGACCCGCCTTATTTCTAATTCCATGGGGAAAAAATTCTACATCATTTTTGACCAGAGGTTCAGCAATCTGTGGCTCTGGAGCCGCATGTGGCTCTTTCATCCCTCTGCTGTGGCTCCCTGTCACTGGTTGGCTCCACAATGGATAGGGCTTTCGGTTAGGACAGGTAGAGGAAAACGGACGCCCCGCTAGGACTCTATGGTAGGGGGAAATCGGACTTCTGGTCGGCAGAGAAGAAAGGATGCTGCGCTAGGAGGAAACTCTATGGTAGGGGGAATCGGACTTCCGAGCAGCAGAGGAAAAAGGAGGCTGTGCTAGGAGGAGACTCTATGGAGGAGACTGTGAAATTTCTATTCCATAAAATCTGAATCTATCGAACCCAAAATGCAGAGAGAAAGGATTGAAAAACGTTGTCACAGGTCAAAAAGAGGGCTGTGAAAATATCTACAGACCCCTCACACCCTGGACATAAATTCCCAAACTGCACACCAGAACAACCAGACACAAGGACAGGTCATCACTCTGCTAAACAACTAATTCTCACAACACTGTCAAATTCTTTTCTAAGACTGTATTACTATTATTATTATTATTCTCCTCCTTAGTACCGTTCTCTTCCCACTAGAACCATGTTGCTTGAATCTTTACAATTCACATTGTTTTATTTGTTTCCTAGTATGATTTGATTGCTTATTAGNTCCCTTCCTCTTTCCCTCCTCCTTTCTTTTCTCTTAACCTCCCTCCTTTCCTCCCTCCTTCCTTCCTTCCTTTCAACACTCCTTCTCTCTTTCTTTAGACTTATATACCACTTCACAGTGCTTTACAGTCCTTTCTAAGCGGTTTACAGAGTCAGCCTATTGCCCCCTGACAATCTGGATCCTCATTTTACTGACTTTGGAAGGATGGAAGACTGAGTCAACCTTGAGCCTGATGAGATTCGATCTGCCAAGCCGCTGGCAACTGTCATCAGCAGAAGTAGCCTGCAGTACTGTAATCTAATTACTGCATCACTGCAAGGGTGATACAGAAACACAAAGCCAAGGAGTTGGTTGGGCCCATGAACCCCCCCCCCTCCACACACCTGTGTTAACAACTTCTAACCTCTGCACCTTGGAAATATTGTGGGGTGGGGTTTTTTTTGTAATTTATGATGCTGTTTTATATTTTTTTAAAAAAAATTAATCTTAAATTATTTGGTTTTTAATGTCTCATTATATTAATTAAATGGCACACTGCCCAAAGCCCCTCTAGGAGGCAGAAGGATGGTTAAGAAATTTGATAAACAAACAAACACATAAGTAAAACAGAAGGGACAAGAAATCTGCACTGCTATGAAACCAGCTGTAATAATAATCCCAAAGTTTCAGCTATGTGTAAGAAGAGAATCAATTTATTTCTGGCTTGGTTGAGTTACATATCTGAAGCTACGGTAAAATTATATTTTATTAGTATTATTATTTAACATTGTAAATTCACCTGGTTTATGAGTGACTTTTTGTCCCTTTTTCAGCAACTCTTGTCTCAACCTACCTTCAGGCTCCCAGATCTTAGCTGCCTTAACAGGTTTTAAAGGGAATGTTCCTCCTTGGTTTTGCAGCTGCATTTATTGGGACTTCCCCCCCCCCTCTTTTTATCCACCAGACAGATGCACATAACATGGAAAAAAAGCTGTGTATGTAATTGTGGTCTATACATAACTTTCCTTTTGCCCAAAATGGGAAGGAAGGAACATCTATTAGTTCATGACTTGCAGCACTCAGCAAGAAATTAAATGAAGTTCTTGTTCTCAGCATTCGAAAACTGGTGAAAGAGAAGGTAATTGCAGAACAGGTACAACCTGCTTTGGAAGGATTTGAAAGTATCAATACAGATAATGTGGAACTGCTTCTATTGATCATTTCCCCAGACATCTTAAAGTTGGAAAGTTATGATTTAGCCTGCTTTCTTTTATTTTTAGCTGTCTCGGTATTGTTGCAGGAAGATGCTTTAAATGTATTGTAATGACTGTAATACTCATCTGGCTTGACACATACTCTCCTGGGATGCTGAAGATGACAGTTAATAAAAAGGATGAGCAATAGAGGGTGGCTGTTGGTTTCAGGACCTGTTGGGAGTTTTCCAAGTATTGAAAATATATTAAAAATGAAAATATGTAACTTGGAAATAAAAATGAAATATTAAAATTTAGGTGTGTTCAATATGCTTGCCACCTTGAGTTATTTGTAAAAATAACAAAGGTGGGCTATTAATAAAAAATGAAGGAAGGAAGGAAGGAAGGAAGGAAGGGAGGGAGGGAGGGAGGGAGGGAGGGAAGGGAAGGAGGGAGGTTTTTTTTAGATATTAATAGAACATGCTTCATATAGTGCAAAAACATACAAATAAATTAAAATGTGAAGCATTCAAGAAATAACCAGGATTTATTAATAGCAGAACCATTCTTTAATAAATACCTAACAGAATTAGCAATAGCTCTTAGACTTATATTCCACTCCATGCTGCTTCATAGTGCTGTACAGCCAATAGCAATAGCACTTAGACTTATATGCCACTTCATAGTGCTTCGTAACCAATAGCAATAGCACTTAGACTTATATGCCACTTCATAGTGCTTCGTAGTGCTTTACAGTACTCTCAAAGTAGTTTACAGAGTAGGCATACTGCCCCAACAATATTTTACCTCATTTTAACGACCCTGGGAGAATGTAATGCTGAGACNTTTGAAGTTTGCGTGGTCTCAGACGTGGTCATAAATATACAGAGAGAGAGAGAAAAAAAACAAAGGAATGGAGAGTAAATAAGGCACGTGGCAGTCTTTGAAAAAATCACACAAGCTTCAGCCAACTTAAATTAATTGCCATTTCCCTGGCCCGGTCCATAAAACTGTACATCGACACACAAATGTTGTGTGGGCAGCTGTCATTCCAAGTCACACTCCTCCAATATCCACGGTGGCTTTCAGACCCCGGCTGGATTTGACACGGCGGATCTCCAACCCAGTGGTGGGAACGTCCCGAGTTTGCGTGTGTCTGTGTGTGTTTTTAAAAAATAAAAATAAAAATCCATTTGGAATTGGACGAAAGGATAATTCCTTTCCTTCAGAAGGAGACAACGCCCACCCGGCCACCCACCCGGCCACCCCGGGAATCGAGTGGTCATCAGAAAAGATTGGTCAGCGTCGTCTGTGAAGGGCTGCGGGATTCGTGGACGTCCAAGCCGCCAGACACGGAGCTCAGGACTGACGTCACGGAAGGCATGCTAGGATTCGTCAAGTCTGTGAGGGTGGTGGGCGTCCTGGAGGGGCTCAGGGAAGTGTTGGAGATCTCCGAAGCGGGTCCGGAGGGGGTGCCGGCCTGGAGGGCCGGATCGGATGCCTTGTCCACTCCCGTGTTCTCTTGGCGTAAGAGGTTCCGTCGGAATTTGGCCCGGGCGTTCTGAAACCAGACCTAGAAGCGTTGGACGGGAAGGAAGGAAGGAAGGAAGGAAGGAAGGAAGGAAGGAAGGAAGGAAGGAAGGAAGGAAGGGGGAATAAAAAGCAGGTAAGGAAGGAAGGAAAGGAAAGAAGGAAGGAAGGAGATGGAAGAAGAAGCAGAGAAGGAAGTAGGGAAGGAGAGAGGAAGGGAAGGAAGGAAGGAAGGAAGGAAAGGAAGGAGGGGAAGAGAGAAGGAAGGAGATGGGAATGAGAAGGAAGGAAGGAAGGAGATGGGAATGAAAGCAAAGAAGGAAGGAGGTTGGAAGGAAGGAAGAAAAAGGAAGGAATAAAAAGCAGGAAAGGAAGAAGGGGAAGAGAGAAGAAAGGAAGGAGATGGGAATGAAAGCAAGGAAGGAAGGAGGTGGGAATAAAAAACAGGAAAGGAAGGAGGGAAGGAGAGAAAGAGGGAAGGAGATGGGAATGAGAAGGAAGGAAGGAAATGGAAATGAAAACGGAAGGAAGGAGAGAAGGAAGGAGATGGGAATGAGAAGGAAGGAAGGAAGGAAATAACAAATGAATAAATGCAAGGTAGGTAGATGGGTGCATTCTTTAAAACAGTGCCCCCCCCCCAACCTTTTGGGCACCAGGGACCAGTTCCATGGAGAAATGCCACAGACCAGTGTTGGGCCATGGGCTGGGGGGATGGGGAACCCTCCTGCTTTAAAAGATGTAAACTCTGCTTCGTTCCCAATACAGATTGATTGGCCCTGGGGTCGTCCAGGCGATGGCCTTGATTTATTTAGAGTTTGGCATATCATGCATGGACTTCCAGCACTACAGACAGTCCTTAACCTACCATATTTAGTGACTGTCCCAAGTTACACCACCATTGAAAAACGTGACTTATGCCTGTTTTTTTTTAACAGTTTTGTTAAATGCAAGATATGTGG